GAGAAACACATGATCAAATGGAGAAATCAGTTGGCTTCATGCTGGAACTTTCCAAAGTTGTGCTAGGCACAGGGTTTGTAACAGCACGTGTTGATGAAGTGCCTGCCAGAGCTTTCCCAGCACATCTCCTGCCACCCTCAAAGCAGCCAGAGAAGGACTGCGATCCTTGCACCATAGCTCAGGGCAGGGTCCTCTAAAGATGGCCCGCGGGCCACATGCGGCCTGCCGAGAACATTTATCTGGCCCGCCGGGTGCTTTTGTCCCATTTGTTTTCTTACTTCAAAGTAAAATATGTGCAGTGTGCATAGGAATTTGTTCATAGTTGGTTTTTTTTTAACTATAGTCCGGCCCTTGAACAGGTCTGAGGGACAGTGAACTGGGCCCCTGTTAAAAACGTTTGAGGACCCCTGGCTTAGGGCATCCTAAACATACTAAAGTGATCTGAAGAACCACAGAGAAACTCCTCTCTATTATACATGGTTGGTTTACAATTGCCCGGCCAGGTGTGAAAGGGCACAAAACTAGAGCACCCTCAAAATACGTTGCCCACTTCAACCCCCCTACCTTCCCCTCCTCCTCTCCAGTCCCTCTCTTCGGCATCATCAAATCCAACCACCCTCCATTTCCACTCGGGCTCCCTCCTGCCCTGTCAAGCTTGTTGCCATCGTCCATCGTCAGCAGCCTACGAGGCAAGCTGGCTCATTGCCAGCCCGGGCACAACGGATCAAAGCACTGTCCAGGGCTGAGCCACCTTCGTGGCCCGTTCTGGATCAGACTGTTGCAATCCACAGGGTTTTCCCAGGCTGGATTTCGGAAGTCCATCACCAGGCCTTTCCTCTTCTAGTCTGGAAGCTCTGCTGAAACCCTTCAGCACCACAGCAGAACACAGGCCTCCACTGACACACAAACAGGCATAAGAGGTGGACAGACGCGTAGTGGGTGCTTGCTGGGTGTGTAAGATTCTACCTCATCTAGAGGAGCCCCTGGTGGCACTGTGAGATAGGCATTGGGCTGCTAACTGCAAGGTTGGTAGTTCAAACCCACCAGCCACTCCTCAGGAGAAAGATGAGGCTGTTTGCCCTTGCAGAAAATGCATAGCCTCAGAAACTCTAGATGGGGCCCCTATGAGTCAGAATAAAAGAGAGGGCAGTGGGTGTGGTTTGGGGATTGACACGTGATACTTTGAGGAATTCTGACTAGCATCTGATATTCCTTACCTCCATACCCTGCTGAAGCCAGCTCCTGCCTCCCAACCTTTTCTGTCCATTCTTCCAGAGATGCTAAATGTTCTCAGAGAAAATCCTGACTAGGTCTAGCCCCAGGACAAATTCCGACTCTCTGATGTTAGCTTGGGGTTTCCAACCGTCCACAGCAGTCTCAGAGACCCACAGGGGCAGTTCTGCTCTGTCTTGTCCTACAGCATCATTGAGTCGGCATGGGGTCGATGGCAGTGAGTTTGGTTTTGCTGTTTTTCTTTACATTAGCTGAGAGCTCAGCACTCACTCAACATGCAATGACCTCCTACTGGTCAAACCCAGGGGTCTCTTCTCAGACCTCCTCTCCGCACGACCTCTGACACTGCTCACTTGCACGCCCTTCTTGCAACTTGTCAGCCAGGTGATCTACCCACAGGCACCTTCGTTTGGCTCGCAAAATAGGTGAGCTTGTTTGGTTGTGTTGTCAATGAGCCCCCAAAGTCCATTTCCACAGGGGGGGAGTATTGCCCAAGAGGGCTTCAGTACATCTGTGGAAAACTTCCAATATCTTTCCATTCCATTTCTCCACAGGCTTTTTGAAGCCTCCCAGAATGAGGTCAGGAGCCCTGGTGGTGTAATAGTTATAACCTGGCCTGGAATCTGAACGGGTCAGCAGGTCAACACTACAGCTGCTGTGAGAAAAAGACAGGGTTTCCTACTCCGGTAAAGAGTTACAGTCCCAGAAACACACAGCAGCTCCACGCTGTCCGAGTGGGTTGCTATGAGTCGGCAGTGACTCAATGGCAGGGAGTTCGGTTTTTTGGAAGAGGATAATCCTAGATACACATCAACGTGGGTCAGAGCCAAAACCACAGCCATCCAGAGGATTCCAACACATAACAACCCTATAGGGCAGAGGACAACTGCTCCGCAGGGTTTCAGAGGCTGCACGTCTTTGCCAGAGTAGACATCCTCATCTTTCTCCCTCAGAGTGACGGGTGGGTTTGAACCACTAACATGGACCGCAGCCTGGTGCTGAACCCACAGGGCAACCTGAAAGGCGGGGAAGAATGCTCACAACACTAGGGGCTGTAATGGAGTTCAAAGATCATCGAATTTTTCAGCAACCTTTTTGAAGCCCCTTGCATATGAGTTAGTTACACACTGGGCTCTAACCATAAGGTGAGCAGTTCCGATCCACCAGCCACGTTGAAGGAGAAGGATGAGGCTGGCTCATTCATAAACATTTGCAGCCTCTGGACATCCCCTCACAGAGGGGTCACAGGGAAGAGATGAGCCAGTCAGGGGCAGTACAACACCGATGAAACACAAAATTTTCCTCTAGCTCTTTGGTGTTTCCTTCCCCCCACTATCATGACCTCAATTCTACCTTACAAATCGGATTAGACCAGAGCATGCACACTGCTACAGATAAGAGCCCGAAACACAGGGAATCCAGTATAGATAAACCCCTCAGGGCCAACAAGGAAAGTAGAGATACCAGGGGGATTAGGGG